ACTTTTGGCAGTTTGTAGTGGCATAGTCCGGAAAATGTGTCCGACTTAATGGGGTGTCCGAGTCAATGGTGAATCATGTTAGCCAGTTGTGTTTAGATGTATAATCTGTTTGTGGCTGGGAAAACGCGGGGTGGTCGGAGACTTCTGACCCCGCACATTCACTGTACCAGCTGGCTGGGTCCATAGTTGCGAGCTGATTGGCGTGCCCTTCGGGGGTTTGATGGCGCCGGCCTTGGTCAATTATGCGCTAATGCAGCTGACGTGGAGCTACTACATCACAACTCAATTCCAACACATGGGGCGTGCCAACAGCAATTTTTTGCTCGTCCAATGCTACCATAATTCACACAACAAAGGCCCCCGCACTGTCTTGACACATGCTCACATCAGTTCTTATCATTTCTGAACGTCCGTCTTCTCGTTTGCATCCACTCATCATTTGGCTGAATAACTGCTCCTTCAGACGTCTGCTTGCCCTTTGCTTTGACGCACGCCGGTTTTGAAGTGGCCCCTGAATCAGCTCCTTGTGTTACTAATCATGGTGTCAAATATGCGGCACTCAGCGATGCTAAAGGCGCAAGCCGAACGTCTGAGACGAGATTTTGACGACCTCATCTCCAAGTTGATTGTTGATGAGGATACCGCGCGGTATGACTACGAACGGGAAGTGCCCCAACTAGAGCAACAAATCCGCGGGGGGGAGGAGACCATCGAGCGAATACAACAAGAAATTGAGGTTGGTCAAAACCGGATTATTCAGTTGCGGGATGCCCTACGGGCCGCCACTGAGGATAGACGCGAAGTTGAGGCCATATTCGGTTGTTTGAGTAAGACCAAGGTAGGTCTGCGCAAAGAACTTGTTTGTCTAGGGGAGCAGCACTCTTGTCCCTCGCTTTCCTACGAGCCGAAAGATGCTTTATAACCTCTGAGGGCCTCAGCTTCTTATCACATTCCGACAGCGCTGGATGGGCGGAGGCTGTGTTTCTGGTGGCTGGGCGCTGGGAGTCACTCAGCCACCGCCGCGGCTGAATGAAGCCCATAGTTAAATGCCTCTGGGTGTTCTGGTCCAGATCCTGGAGGCTCGACCCCTTGAAACGTTGGCGTTTTAATCAACCCTGCAATTTTAATGGAAAGATGTCAGGCGGACTAGCAGACATTGACGCTGCTGATTTTGAGGCAGGATCACCTCAGGCTCAAAACCCACATGTGCAAACAATTGGACTGCTGCAGTGCTGCATTGGGAAGGGCAATTAGATTAGGCACCTTTCTAAAGGTACGTTTCTAAAATGGAATAAACTAGATTTAAACTAACGTTAAAGTACCCTAGGAAGTAGGAACCTAGTGAGGTACCATCTGATTCATAATAATTCTGGACCCCTCTGTGATGGGACAATTCTTTAAAAAAACATCGCTCCACTCTACTCATCAAATTCCAGTCACTTCTTACGGTATGGCTTCTTCTTAGCGATCAATGCCATGTGTGTTTCATGCTATCTGACGTAACAATAAAGGAGTGGATAATGAGTTGCTCGCAAAAAGACAAAGCCAAAGCCAAAAGAAGACAGAACGAGTGGAAGAACGGTAGTTACCAGTCTGGGTTCGAAAAAGAAGCCGGCTGGTCTGAAAACAGAGAGCAAGAACAGACGATGGACCGGAGAGCGAGGGGTTGGACAACGTCCGGGATCCAGGAAGAAATGTGTCCACCAACTTCGCACCCTCAGATCACCCCTGGTCCCGATTTGGGCTCTTCGATCGCAGCCGCTTGGGCTTACTTGGTGCACTTCCTCCACTGCAGGTAGCAGATCTGCTTGAACTTGAGATCCGTGGAGTCGACCTATTGAGGGGAGAAACAGGATCAGTTTTCATCGGCATTACGCGGGTGTTGCGGTGCATTCCAGAGCGCCTCGAGCGTATGAAAGGGAAAGGGGTGAGGGGCTTTACCGTAAGCAAGTTCGCTCTCTTGGAGTCAAGAGGCGTCAGGCGGACTTCGTTGTTGATGTTGAGCATGCCCTCGGCGCCGCACGGCGACCAGACGAGACTCTCCAGGTTGAACTGATCCGTCTTGAGATAATTGTCATCGTACGGACCGTGGAAGGTCACGGCGCTCGAGTACTGTTGAGCGGTTGAGTAAGCATTTGAATATCTTCTGTCACTGCATGGGCAACTCCAGTCCGATCACATGTGAAGACGTACCTGCTTAGAGTCACCAGAGAAGTAATAGGTGGCCTTGCAGGTACCCTTGTCCTTGGGATGGATGTTGGCGTAGCCGCGGTAGTCGGCCTTGAAGACCGAGAACTGCCAGCCGTGAGGGTACTTGAGCTTGACGTTGAGCTGGCAGTTTTTGCGGTGCTCGGAGGGCTTGATGCCTTCGCCGGACTGCGCGATGAACGAGTCGTAGAGAAGGGTCAGAGTCGTCAGGTCTGTTGACAGCTGGCTCCCAACCGACTTGGCCGGGCAGCCCGAGCCGCCATAGGTAAATCCCCTGATCTCGACCTCGTGGCCGCTGGGGCCCGCCTCGGCGCGTTCGGTGTTGGCAGGCGCGGCAGAAGCGACGCCGGCGAAGACGGCAAGGATGTTGGAGAACTTCATTGTTGAGAGAAGGACAGGTGAGGAAGAGACAAAGATAGTGCTAGTGTTGTGGATCGGGTGTTGCTGTTCTCTGTGGTTATTGGGGAGTGGAGCGAGTTGTGTGAGTTGAGATGTTACGACTGAGCCGGTTCATCACTGCTGCTTTATACTTTACAAGCCCCTAGCCTCAGTATGTGGTTGATGTTCTTTCTCCGATCGGGCTGAATGGTTCTGCCTGACACACCATCCAATGGCACAGCCCGGCGGGCTGGCTCATGACGGGAGCTCCGACGGAAACGACTGGACTCGGAGGATTCCTGAGATGTCGGGACCCCGGCAGTCCGCCTATGATGGATCAATTACATGACAACCTGTATTGTGATAGGGTCCCAAGATGATACAAGAATAGTGACACCGCCGTCGCGCTGAATTCGTTTGATTCCTGGGATTCGATGACCTCTAGATCGATGCGGGCTGAATTCATGTTTCCGCCGAATGTCCGATACGGCTGTGTCGGCAGTTTACCTTGTGCTCGAATGAGAGCCTCTCTTAACTGTTGGCTTCCTCCACTCAGTGACAGACACGACTGGGAACAGGGCTGAACCGTCCGACGGGCTGTGTCGAATGTGTCCGTTCGGGAGCTGAGTGCCAACGCCTCGTGCCTCGTGCAAGACTCAAAGATGGATCGGAAGACGTTCAACACGAGGAGAGACGAGATAGGTCGCTCAAGGTGGAGGGGAGTGTACACCTTCTACTCTACCTTAGGTAATTTAGATGAGTTCCTGCATTGAAGCGAAGCTTCAATGACGACTCTAACATCGTGTTTACACATGGAATGAGGAGGAAGGAGCTTCTAGGCTTCGACAAATGAGGTCTTAGAGGAAAGATTGGCTGAACGAATCTTGGCGTGTTACACACACCAAGATGGAAGCTCGCTTCACACTTGCTGAGGTGAACACCACAGTCAGGGTATTTTAAGTACCTTATGTCCAATGAGCTAAATTAGCTCAATTAGCAAAACAGTGGCGTCCGGACTTCGGGGCACCAAATGCACACATGATGCAAGTTCAGGGAGACTAGAAGGCTCCAGCCTCCAGTCTTCGACCAGTCCACGTCTAGACCGCTCTCAAAGGTTGTGTCTGACTCAGACCGGTCTGAAGGATGTCGGGGAGTCGGGGAGTGGGCTGAACGGTGCCCGATATAGATTGTGTCAAGAAGGTGGTGATCATTCCATGATATCACGTATCCGTTCATGTCCACCATTGAGCGGGACACCCCATTGACCCATTGACCGGGACATTTTTCTAGACCACACCACTGCAAACTGCCAAAAGTCCACCAAAATCTGATGCGATCAATTGAAACTACTTAGAATCGCTTGAGCTATCTATTTCTCCAGCCTCCGGGCATGTCCTTGCATTATGGCTAGTCTTGCGGCAGATGCCATAGAGCCGCGAACCCGTCCGAAGCCTCTTTGATTGTGACGGGCACCACCCAAGGTCTGGTCAACTCGCACATACAAGATCGATATTGCTACAACGAGAGCAAGAGCTAGATGACAGGAATGGGCGTGCAACCAGACCTTAAGTACTGGAGCAGAGGCCTATGCGTAAGCATGACCATAGACGTATGATCAGACCCCATGACGTATGCATAACCGCAAGCATATGACATAACCATGAGAACAGGGACGGGGAATCCCGTGACATTGATGGCCCTTCATTTTCCTCCTCGACGCGCCCTTCCCCTTCTACTACACCCTTCTCTGCCATTTTGTCCCTAGTTTAGCTTCCATCAATAGCCCTGCTATCCTGGAGACGCGTCCGTTTGGCCCTGCGGCGCTTGGAAAGTGCTTTGTTGGCCTTCTGAAGTGTCCGTACCTTGGCGTCTAAAAGGATGACCCGATGGGAAACCGCTTGTATTCCCTTCGAAAGCTGGTCGACAGGCTAAAATCGGAGTTGGAGAGCTTCCTTGGTGTCTCGCAATCTGATCCTTGATAAGGGTAGACTGCGAAAGGGCCTCGTTGGTAGTTCAGGGCGTCTTGGAGACCCATGGTGCTTGTGGTCTATAAGGAGTCCCAGGGGGTGTTGGCGTCCGTAACTTAACATCCAGCTTCGAAAGTACGGCCTGCGGGTCGTTGGGGATAAAGTCTAGACCCTTGACAACCCTTAAGAGAGTTTTCTTGGGTCAAGTCCGGTAGAAGGCGGTTTTAAATGTAAAGAAGAATGTAACGGGCTGGGCCCCATGCGAGCCTCTGCGACTCTCGGCCAATACCAAGACCCCTGATGAGGCTATTCTGTTGGAATATCTACGCCAGAGTGAGGTCCTCGCAGGAGGACCCCGGGTGAGGGCAGGTTTATTACAGGGGTAGTAGTCACGTGGTCTAGGACCGAGGACCACTACTGCGGCTGCAAGATTCGCACCCCCTTATTCAGAAAAGAATAAGAGCATCCAACTGAACCACCACTTTAGCACGTTCCTCTCA